CACATAGAAACAAAGCAAAAACCTGAGCTTGTGTGTAAAGCTACTGCACTGGAGCGAATGTGGTTTAATTCTTGGCACTGGCAGCTTGTTGGAGAATTACAATATGTTGGCATGAGTCTCTAGGTCTCATTGTTCCAGATGAGGGAGTCAATCTTAAGAGTATTTGGCACTGAAGGGAAAACTGAGTGCGAGTTACAGGGCATGAACAGGCCCTAAAGAGTCAGGATGCTGTTGTAACAATGGCTGGCACAGTTGGGGGCGCCATTCACTGGTGGGGATTGCCATAGGCACTGATGTGAAGAAGCATATGTGAGCCAAAGAAGGGTGGGAAGGGGAAAAACAAGCAAATGTATAGGGTCTGATAGCAGAAAGAAGCAGAAGTAACTAATTAGACTCATCTTAATATTCACATGGGGGCTAATGAAGAATATCTTTCATTTTTTGCTAATTTAGCTTCTTAACATCTATTTTATTTTCTCTTTTAAAAATATTATTTAAATTTCCCGTAAAGATACAGATCCTTGAATTAAGTGTACTTGGTTTTGTATTCTATCTGCTCTACTTTCTAGATGAATGACGTTATACAAAAGCATGTTTCTAAACCTTAGTTTCCTCATCTACAAAATGTATGTAATATCTATATATGCTACTGACAATTGTTAGGTCGCACAACATTCGGTAAAATGAAATACTTTGCCAAAACAGTTATTAATGGACCTGTATACTTATTTTAATGTAGGAAGTCCTACTAGTTCCATTTTGAATGTAATCATGATATTCCATTGCTTGAGAGAATAACATGTCGGGAGAAAGAATGCTCAGGAGAATCTTTAGAAGTGTTTACCTTAAGAACACTGCATCAACCAGGTGTGGTGGTACATACCTGTAATCCCAGCAGGAGGAATGCAAGTCCACTTGCAGCCTGGCTAGCTTATCCAGTGAAAGAAACCCTATCTATAAAAAGGGACTGGGATGCAGATCAGATCAGGGCAAAAACCCTGATCTTTTTGTCAATTTGAATACAAACAAATTAAAAAAAAAAAAACAGTACAGCCTATCTTAACGTGAAAATAAAAGATCCAGAACTTGAACATTTGCAAATTGCTATGCACGGTAACATATTCATAGTATAAACTACAATTATGTTTTTTAAAACATCCTTTTACAAAATTAATAGGTAATTGTTACCTATTTCATTCCATAGATAGTGAAGCAGCACTTACATAACTGTGATAAATTTCACACATGTTAGTGAGCAGGTGTATTTAAATATTGGGACTTGGCCATTGGGTCTCTTACATTTCTCATTGTGAGTTTTCTTTGAGATGTTACTTTTTTCAGAGAAGTTGAATCACTGCTCCTCCACTGTGATTATTATTGTGAGATCATTTCCATTTCTTTAGGGAACTACAGCATAAACAAACTGAAACAGTAGCGATTGATAGAAAATCAATTTAGCTACAGAGCTCAAGTAGGTGAAATGGCATAGATATACCCTCCACCCCACCCCACACCCCAGCCCTCCAATGTCAGTCCTAGTGACTATACAGGTTGTTTGACTTACAACGCAACATTCCATCCATTATAAGTAAAATGAAGTACTTTCTTGTGTCCCTCTGTAGGTTTTCATTAAAATTTCCTGTGTCATCTGATTGGACTACATTTTTAGGATCATGAGAACTATTAAAAAGTCATGCCTAAAAAACACACTTTTAATATCAGAATTGATAAATATATATTGGAAAATTCAAAAGCTTAGCCTTTAAATATGTCCTTCATTCATATGATGGAGTTAATAACAATAGTTTTTTCCTACTGTCCAGAATTCTTTTGCAGATTAAAATGTGTTTGTGTGTGGGGGGGTATGGGTATGTGTAGAAGGACAGACTTAAAATCCAATAGGTTGGATTTATTTCCATATTGGCCAGGGTATGATAGTTCCCTAAGCATTGTTCTCTTAAAATATGAATGGCTGTATCCCTATGTAATTCAGAATATTATCGTGAGATGTTTGAGCCCCTATGTGTAAAGGACCTAGTATACTGCTTGACACTTGGCATTCATGCCGGTAGCTTTCATCATCATTTCTTTGTGTATACAGGAGATGAATCTGTAAGAAAAAAATATTCAAGACCTTGATTCTTCCATTTCATTGTATGAAACCTCAGACCATTCCGTTTTTCCTTGTATATGGGTAGATGTGTTTTAACTTGAGAAATAGATGCAATAACACACTCCGAGTCTTCAGTTGGCTGCTGTGATTAAATGAGGGAATGTACAGGTAAAAGGATCCAACATAGTTCCTGACACATAGGCTGCTCAATAAACTTACCAAACTTATGTATTAGTGTCTTTACTCATCCACAGACATGACGCGCCTGAGTTGGACATGTCTCTGATCTTACATTTTCCAAATAACTTGGTCTTAAAGAAGTGATTCATTTTTCTTTAGCATATCCTTAAAGTCCTGTGTTTGAAAAAAGTGGCTCTGTGCACTACTTATACTACTTAATAACGAGGCCAGGAATGTTCTGCAGGTTTCAGAAATCTGAGTGGCTGTTTCTTTAACTCTGCAACTTGGACAGAAAACTTCTGTTTCTTTATGAGCACACTACAGTGAATATTTTGTCTAGCTGCAGGGGAAAGGCTTTGTCATGGACTTTGCAGACAATAGCTTTAAAAGTAAAATGGTCTGCTTTTGGTGCAGGGAGGTTCAGGGGCCTATTGTTGGTGCACAATGGATTTCTATTGCTGCATTCCTGCTTTGCAAAGGTTTGCTAGCTTTTAATGACTGACAGTACTCTATTGCAAATACCATATTGGCTGTGCTCTGTTTACATGCTACTCAAGAATTTTTGTAGAGTGCTAGAAAAAAGAAACAGTGGTGTTTGTTTGACCTACTCTGATAAGGTTTAAGAAATGCTTTTGCTCACAAAGTGTTTACTGGAAATGTAGAAATGTTGGAAATCCGTGCAGTAGTATTTTAAAGTTACCTTTAAAACCTTGACAAACAAATATTGGTTACAATATGAAGATATTTACTCTTTTGCTGCTCACAGACTTGTTATTTTACAAACAATATGATACAAATGGGACTATTTTAAGAGAACATAACAGTAAATTCTTTACTATCCTTTTATTCCTTAAATGTGAAAAATCAGCATACATATTTTGTGACAAAGGAAAGATACACTTTTTACACATTCCATAGGTAAAGCTGTACATAGGGGTGGTGGTTGCACTTGTATATTTGCATCATATATGGTACTGGGTGAGCTGTGTAAAACAGAGCTTTTCACCATCTTAATTTCCTCAAGTTCTTGACATCTGAAAACAAAATATTCAATGCCTTGTGTCCTTGTTTTGTTGAAAACTGCACAGGCTTTGTGACTCTGATAACTGATGATTGTAACACGAGGCCCTGAAAAAGGTCCATGACATTAACCAAAGATGATGACGAAGACTCTTTAAAATGCATGTTACTCTGGGAAAATTAACCAGTTTCTAATAATCATATGGTCTCTAGGACAGACGGTCCCTTTGATAAGTTAACATGTACTCCCTTTATGCTCCTAGTAGGGGGTAAACAAATGCCTGAGCAAATACAAATCCACATAAACACCAATGTGGAGAATGGCTGTGCATGTCTTAGATCCAGATAATAAGTGTGAGTATTGTTATTTAGATGGCGCATACTGGGACACTTATCTTTTAGTACACTCCATTTTCTAACTGAATGCAGTGCTAATAGTGGGATTGAAAGCCATTGTAATTGTGTACCCATCTAAATGCTGACAAGAATATACAATTACATTGTTTGGTACTGAGTTTAATGTTTGGGAGTTTTATTAGCATTTATATTTACTTATACATTAAAATTGAGCACAAAGGAAGAGATCAAAGCATATTGTATATAAAAAACAAATGCCACACTAAAACATAGCCTTGGTTTCTAAAATGTGTGTCCTAACCAAATACAGGGCATTTGAAGAGTATGATACAAATCTGAAATAAGTAAATAATAGGTTTCCATTATAGGCATGATTCACTTCTCTAGATTTTGTAATCTCTTTAAACCTTTTTTTATATGAACTTTTAAAAAAATGTTCACGGTACTGGCAAATCTTGCCACAATGTGCTTACCACCAGACGATATTAAACACATATTATAAAGTGGATGTAATTGTAAACACACAGAGGGATATAATTACATGTAGCAGATTTAAGAGCTAATTCTTTGCCTTTTTTACTCTGCATTTTATCAACATAATTATTTTTTGACTGCAGACTAGCACCCTGAAATTGACAAGCATCTATTATAGCAAGAATTTGTTCACCAAATTGAAAAACAATGAACTGCAGGTTTATATGTACCTATTGTCATAAAGAATTTGTATGGCTTTGTTCCACCAGAGGAGAAAGCTAATGATTTTGAAACAGCAGGTGACAAAAAGCGTTCTTTTCCCCTCCCCTGTTATCAGTTTGTTGATGAAGTCATTATGAGTGAGGGCCCAGGATAGGGATAGCCTTATTTTTAGCAGATAGACTTTTAATGAGCCCTATTGTAAAAAAGGTCATGTTGATTTGCTTATATATATTTTTTTTTTACTTAGAAACCCCCAGCATTGAAAAGCTACTCTCAAAGGACTGGAAAGACAAGCTTCTTGCAATGGGATCAGGGAACTTTGGCGAAATAAAAGGTAATATGCATGTAGTTATTTTGACCCAAATTATAGAAGTGAAGTTGATATTTAGAAATATTAATGGTGATGAAGTACTTGTGCCCCCCACTCTTTTCTGCTTCATGAATTGTCTGTATTTGATCTTCCTAGCTTGAAAGGAAATATTACCAGTGTTCTTGTTTTCTGTTTGTTTATGCTTTGTGAATGGTATACTGTTTCTAGCAGAAAAACTCCACTGTATTTTTAAAATGCTTTGATTTTTCTCATTTTTTTAAACAAATGATTTACTTCATATATTGAAATATACCCACAGGAACTTTAAAAATTGCATCTTATAAAATAATTGTATACATCCTATATATTGGAAGCATGAATGTTCACACTCTACAGTTGAAACCAGAAATGACTAATGGGAAGGCATAATACAAGATTGTTTACTATCAACACGGGCGGTGTGTTTGCTTTGGTTTTATTTGAATAAGCAATTTTGTACAAACAAGAAAAACTTTATATGGACTACAGAAAATACTGAATATTCATATCTTAACAAACTTCTGCTAATAGCAAAGGGAGATTTAATTTCCTCACCTAGAAACAGAGGCAGGTGAACTTTTTTTTTCCTGGTATGGGGGAGCGAACTCAGGTCCTTACTCTTACAAGGCAGGCAGCGAAACCACTGAGCTAAATCCCTGGCCCCCAAATGAACTTTTCAATGAATTTAAAAGTGAGTTTTCTTGGGGCCTGATAGACAGGCCTGATTGTTGTCAGTGTAACACTATTGGTTCTAAGTTCTAAAGTAAGATTAACTGTGAGAAAGTTAGGATGCTTGGTCATGCATATTAAGATTTTTTAGTTGTATGCTATTGTACTTATTTTTTTGGCAGATGCTAAACATATATTTAAAACATTGCCAGATTTATATTAATATACATGTAGAAATGTGTATACATAACTTTTTTGCATATGTGTGTTTGTAAATACTCTTCCATTGAGAGAGGCAGTTGTCTCTCTTAAAGTTCTGCCACCTCTTAGTATCCTGAAGAAAAGCAAACCATTCATCTTCTCAAAAGTTTTGTCTGTGCAACATTCACATCTTGATACATGAAAACTTCCAGAAAATGTTGCAATGATTCACCCAAATTGTTTAGAATTGCATATATTCAGAATGTGATTAGTGGTGAAAGAATGGTGAATAAATAGGTTCTCATCAATAAATTCACTGACCAAAATATATCATGGAATAATTTAAATGACTGATAATTAACGTGCCCTCAAGAGATTTTAGACAAAGTTTAAGGAGAGCCAGGAAGTTTCATTGTAGAAGGTAGTGAGTCTTTCATCTTATTTTGATGGATTTTAACCCATTTGCACCTGAGGTGAAGCCTGTATCCTGTGAGGTCCTTTATTCTCCCCTGACCCGGGTAATAACTGGGAGTGGAGCGGAGGACTGAGGACTGCCGTTCCAAGCCTTATGATCTCATTCCATTGGAGGACAAACATTTTTTTCCCTCCCTCGTTTTCCTTCACAAGTCAAACTTAAAAGCAGCCACAACAGCGGTGATAAGCTTAGAGGAGAGAGGCTCAGCTGTCCTTTCAGGCTTGCCTGGGGGTTAGTTTAGGAAGCTACAGTAGGATCACAAAAGAAGTTTCTGTCTTTAATTTTGAGTTTTGTGAGCTTCACATTCAGAGCACAAATTTGGTGATTGTCCTCTGGTTCTGTTCAAAAAGCTGTTTTTAGATGCATTTTAAAAGCAACCGTAGGTCTTTCTTCTGTTAGGGGCATGGTTGTTAGGTGCTTGGCTCAGGTTTGGCAGTAAACTGGGAAAAAGCGCTGGGTTACTTTTCCTGCCGACTGCCCGTGACAGTTGCAATTACTGTGCATTGTTCATAGGTGGCTGGAAAGTGGAGAGGATACAATAGCGGGTTGCCCTCTGGGGGTAAATGAATTTGACTTAAAGGTTCTTGGGAGGGGGGTCAGGCAAGAAGATTACGCAGTGCCCAGGAATGTAGTTTTCTTGCCACCTCAGAAGAATTTAGACAAGAACAATGGCTTCGTTGTTTTGGCAGCTATTTTTTATGGGGCAAATAAAGGTGTAAGTCCAACTTATTAGTCACTGTTTTTGTTTGGAGAGGGTAGGATAAGTGTGTGCTTCTTTTATAAAATACAAAAATGTGAATTTACTGAATTATCAATGATTGAAAATGATCACGTAAAAAAACGTAGAAACTTTGCTTATGTTAGGAGATTTATTTCAGTATTTTGTTGGTATTCTTGTGGATTGAAACTTTTCATCTCTTTTTACTGTGGTCATTTTTCATTTTGGTTTTAATTATTTTTAGGATATAGGAGAGAAAAAGAGAGAGTGACAGACACCTCTCCTGGCTAGTTCACATGATAGCCACAGAAGACTGGGCTCCATTTTAAGTCCTGGTTCTACATTGCTACTTTCAGGAAATTTGGATGGATATTGAAATCACAGCACAGAAAGGTTTAGAGAGTGTTTCTCACTAACATTCAAAAAGGAAAAATAACACACTTTTAAAATAGGAGTAATCAATAGCGTTTGATGTGGACATTTTAGCTATCAATAACTAGTTGTCATACACACAAAGTCAATCTCACTTTTTAAGGAACAACGTGAATCACTAAAAAATCGCTGACTTCTAAGCATAGAATTAAGTTTTCATGTTAGATTGTTTTGCCTATTAAAATATATACTGTTATTTTGGAAATGTAAAGTAATTAGGTTTTAAAGTTGCATTAGAAGTAATCTTCTAAGGAACGTACAAAAAGGACACTAGATCCAGTTCTGCAAAACAAAACAATTTCAGTACAAAGCTCTGCCAACAGCACACAGTCCATATATGCTGTAAACTGATTAGCTGCTTCAAGGAATTATTTGTGTTCTTCTTTTCTAATCAGCCATATTGTGTAACTGGCTGCTTTACAGAGTTTTTTTGCCCTTATCTTTGCAGAAGCACCCAGTGACGGTGGCATGAAAGGTGAAGAAATTCCATTTATAGTCTAATAGTTACTGAGAAGTGGTGAGCGCTGTGATTGCGTTCCAGTTAGGGACCAGTAGTGCCACATACTGTGTCTGCTAGCATGAGATTCCATTACACTGAAGGTCACTGCATTGGCATTTCACCTGAGGACCGTATCTGGGGATCCGCGGTGGCTTGACTAGTCTAAACATTTCATTGTTTTTCAACAGAGCAATTCCAAAACTGCATTTTGCAGATTTAATGTTTATTTGTAGAATTATGACACAAGTATCTGCATACATATTCCTCTCAGTTAATTCTGTCGTGTTTAGGTTATAAAAAGCAGGGGTATCATTTGGGAATTCTCCTGCCAGTTCATTCAGAAAACTCTAGATGTTCTCTACCTGCCTCATTTGAAGACATTTTTTAGAGCCTGGTTTGTTTGTTCTTTATCTCTGAGTGGACCCTTGTAACTCTGGTCACAGTTCATTAATTTAGACCTGCAAAGCACTATACTTCTTGTAAGGAAAATGCCAGCTGCTTTCTATACAGTAAGAAAAACTTTTCTTCTACAAGGCTATAATTTGTTCTCTTTAGAAGATGGAACATAAAGGCCAACACAAAACATCTCCAGAACTGTTGGTAATGGACAAGGAAAAAATCCATTGAGTAATGTGTACTGTTGTAGTGCCTGTGAATTAAAGATATTTGTAGATACAACGTGTGGATTAAAGTAGATAATCTCTCAGATAACATGTAGAATTTTGAGATAAAAGAGGTGTAGATTTAGTATGCACCTTGAAAGAGATAACTCTTTAAATATCATTAGATAATTTACAAATCAGCAGGCTTACGATAGAAATCGTATCCCAAAGTGAAAAAAAAAAATCTAGTAAGAAATCCTTAGAGTTTAGTAAATTCAATACACAGAAACTAAAATTTCCCCATTTTTGTATGTGACTTTGAAAGTTACCTTAAACTCATTGTTTTAAAAACCAGTAACTATGATGCAGCACAGGGTTGCTAGTAGTAGTCTGTGATTATTGAATTTGTACATTAACCGAAAGCATGTATAGCTGCACAGTTTAATAGAAGGGTTAAAGACGTTGATTTTCTGCGAATACTGCTGAATCTGGAATTGATTTAACACAAGAATCAATCATAAGGAAGGTACACAAGATGTAGCCATTTACTTCTAAGTAAAGTAAATGTTTATGTTTTTTATCTAGTAAGCTAGTTTTATAGCTCCTCTGTAGTTGCTTAAGAGTAATGTTTTCAGTTTTTGTGAAAACTTCATAAGAACTAAAGAAACACTGCTGGCTCACGAAATACAAGTTTCTAGAATAAGTTTGGCAATGTCTGTAAAAGTAAAAAGTGACTATATTTTTTTATAAACTAGGCATTTGCCCTGTTGCTGGGTGCCCGCATTCTCATGCCAGCGTATAAGCGCTACTCAAGACAGGAAGAGGAGGGTTGACCCCAGGAATCTCATTTGATGTATTGTGTTGAAGTCCACTGCACTAATCATGAAGTTTGAACTACTCTGTACTGATTAAATACAAGACAGGTTTTTAATAGTTTATGCTTCAAATATGATACAATATATTCTACTCATATTGAATCTGAACTTTATTTTTAAAAATGCCATCCTCAAAATTTTTCACATTTAATACTGCCTTTGTTTAAAAAATGTTCATTTGTTTGAGAGGTGTAAAGATTCTAAAATTAAAATAATTATAAAAACATTATTTGTTTTCTCTTAGCTGTATACTCCAAAGCTTGTTCAAACAGGATCCAGATCATTGGATAATGCGATTAACCTAAAGCCTCTTCGAGTTTTATATTAAAATTTAGCAAAGGAAGCATAATCTTGCCAAACAATTCAGTGTCATGTGACCCTCATTCTTCCTGGTACTGTACTTGTAGAAAGCATGTTACTACTTTTGGTTTATTTTCTCATCTGATAATTTAAGAAAGTTCAGAGATTTCTACTTATCTCATATCACTTTGCAAGCGTCTTTCTTATAAAATTA